TTGCAGAGAAGAGCGAGGAAGTCGAGGCAAGCAACTAAGGGGGTTGGGGTTCACAAAACTACCCAATCAATGGGAACAAGGATGCCCATCTCGATTATCAAGGGGAACAGAAGGCCACATGATCCATTACATGCTACCAAGTTTGCCTCAGAGGCAGGTGTAGTAGTCAGGTCTCAAGTACCAATTTTCCTGCACTGGAAACATTACGAGCAATAGATCGAACTTCTTAATAGATTTGTGGCCAAGCTATCTATAAGTATGTATATCCTCTATTGACCTTCAACTCTGCCTTGAGCAACTTAGTAATGGATTTAATTTGCATTCACACTTCTGCAGTTGAGGCTAGCCATTGATGACAATAATGAAGCAACAAAAGAAGCATGCACGAGTGTATTACAGTCTGTTGTACGGCAGACATGGTACAGGTTCAAGCGATCTTACTTCAACGGCGTCCCCGCTGATGAAATCAGAAAGACCTCTCACGTGTCTTGCATGGATGACACATAGTGGTGTGCACTTGTCCACATGTGGTTAAGTTCCAAGAATAAGGTGTGTGTGTGTGTGTGAACTTATTTATTTCTTGTCTAATCTTTATGTGGTCTACTTGTGCTACAGTCTAACACGATTGTGGTTATAGGTAGTCTCGAAGCAGAACAAGCGAAACCGTGCAAAAGTCAAGTGCCACTAGATTATAGGATCTCGCTCCTATATTGCCCACCTGCAATCATATGTAAGTGATTGTTGTGTTACTCTTTCTATATCAAATACACAATGCCTTTTGTATCAACAGAAAGGCATGTGCAATTTTAATAGAAGGACAAAAATAGGAAGGACACAGGACATGATCAAGAAGTGCTCATTGAAGAATATGATCGACCTCATGAAGATGTTGATGCAGTGGGAATCTTCAACAACTTCCATACCGGTAGCAACACGGGACTAAGCGATGCTACAAGAGCAGTGGTAAGTACCTTCATTTGCATTCCTTGAAATCTATTGAAGCCATTGGCATAACAGAAGGAAAAGTAGGAGAAGCCTAAAGTGGCACCATCATTTTAAAGTTGTAATATTACAACAGTTAATATGTTACCTATGCATTGTGCTTATGAATCTCTATCGGCAATAGGCTGAGGAAGACCTATGTAATACTTATAATGAAATAACAGTTAATTGTTACCTATGCATTGTGCTTATGAATCTTTGTCGGTAGTAGGCTAAGGAAGACCTATGCATTACTTATAATGAAATAATCTCTTGGCTCTGTAATTTAAGTTCTCTTCCTAATATTTACTCCTTGGTTTTTGCAGGAAGCTATGGAAATTATACGAGCAAAATCTATTGTTGATGTTATTTCCAAGGTCCTCTTCTAGGTTAGCTGCAACACCTTTTGTTTGAAGAATGCTGGTATCAAGACAAGCTGCTCCAGACTTCGAGAATGGCTTGCTGCTCATCAAGAAAGTTTAGTTGTCCTCGCCGAACAAGTGGATCAACTGAAGAGGAAGGCGAAAACACTGATAGTGAGTTTGAGGAGTTGAAGAAACAGCATCAGGAGCAGTACAATAAGCTCTATGAGCATATCATGCTCTTAAGCGCTGGTAACTCTCAATCATGTTGATGCAGTGAACACATGGATTGTTTACTGTTTTGATGTGAAAGTTTGGCGGCTTGATATGTGAACTCTATCAGTGGTTTGCTATTGAGCTGAACTACTGTTATTTGATTCAGGTTCAATATAATTATTCATGTAGCCATTTTATGCAGCAGTGTAGATCTAAAATCATTTTTTCTGATGTAATAATGATTGGTGTACACGTGGTAGATCCGGCACAGGCACGTTGTTAAATAAGAATCTAACACGTGGACCAACCAGTGAATGACACGTGTAAGAGCCAGGACAGGGCACATGGGCCAATACAAATAAAATACGTGGTGTAAATCCGTCCTGTCACGTGGTTGAATAGAAAAGACACGTGGGCAGCTCAGGTCACGACACGTGGCCCAATAAAAAACTAACACGTGGACGTACAACATCGAGACACATGGTCGAGTAAAAGATAGACACGCGGGGTATTGTAGTCAAGCCATGTGGACCAATAAAAATATGACACATGGTCCAATAAAGAAGTGACACGTGACCCAACCACAACACGACACGTGTGCCAATAGAAAACAGACATGTGAAACAACAAGGTCCTGACACGTGGTTCAGTAAGAACCTAGAACGTGCAAGAACTAGAGATGACCACATTGTGCAATAAGAAGGTGACACGTACCCGAACCATCTCCAATGCAACTGTCTATAGCATGTACATGTGAAAAGCATCTCTACGGAAGCAACCACCAGCGTGGATGCCCCCTGCCAGGCATGCCAAAGCAGTTCTATGACGTTCGGTTTTCGTCACAGATCAAGCCATATCTATGACGATTTTCTAAAATCGTCATTAAATTTCAAGAATGACATGACTTCTATGGCGAACCGTTTTCGTCATAAATTCGTCATAGAACTGAAATTATGACGAATTTGGCTCCTTCAGTAACTAAAGCTATTCGTCGTAAAAGTGGATATTCCTACTAATGTAGTGATATAGCTTTGTGTGCCATAGAGATCATAATTGACTAGAATTGTTGGATAGGTGGCTTGCAACACAAACACTAGGCAAGACAAAATAGCATTGCGCCATTTGTTGTACTAATCAAATTGGTCTAGTGGTTTTGTAGATTTCAATTTAGGTTATTCACCCCCCCTAAGCCAATTAGGACCTTTCAACACTGAATAGCCATTTATTGGGAGGCACGCTTACAAACAGGAGCCAAGTGTGGACAATGCATATGTTGCAAAAATGTTTTACGAATTGCCATTGGAGCAAATAGTGAACAAATGAGAAAGAGCGTGGTGAGGTCTCTAGGATGGTCCACTATGGGAAACCTTACACATTTTTAGTTGACAAAGTTTTCATTTAAAATCACTTAGATGCCTAAACAATTATCCAAAGTTTTGGCCAACAAAAAAGGTTTGGCAGTGAATTTTATTCTCATAATTTTGAAATATTGTTCTCTTTAACATAGAACATCTGTCTTATAAAGGCAAACCATTTTATCTTGGATCTAGGACATCATCTTAATTTGGTGCTTAATAGAAGAAAATTTTCTATCTTCATAACGAAAATATCATTAAATAAAATTTTATCTAAATATATTTATATAGGGTCTTGTTTTGAAGGATTTATTGTAGAAAACATAATGATAAAATAAAAAATATTTACATAAGCCCACCTAATTTTTTTAGTCTGTATGCTTTTCCAACCAGACCTACATGCACCCTAGATTAGTAGTCCAGCCCATAAGCCCATTAAGGTCATTCTTAGTGGAAAGCCTAGTGTCGTTCTTTCCAAGACTGCCATAGTATGTATAATGAAACTTCGATGAAACATCCATTTAAAATGCAGTCATTCTAGTGTTTCGTAGACATTTAATTTCATGACTCGTATAGAGTTAGTAATCGTATCAAGAGACTCATTTCTTCTTTCTCCTATTAAAAATGTTGCTATATCATAAAAAATATCTATGTAACAGTCTATCAAATGCTAATAAACTCACATAAAACTTTCATCGAAACTGGTCGGCACGTGCCTCGGTGCGATCAGTGGAAAGAATAGATACGATGAAATCAAGAAGAATGTATATAAAACAAAAAAAAGAGAGAAAGAAAATATTTGCAGCAGAAATGTGTGAAAAAGAAACGGCCCAGGAGGTCCACACGCGAGTGCGCTCTCCGCGGGCCGAACAACCCCAGACTGGGCCGGCCGTCCGCCGCATTTTCCTTTTCCCTTCCGCACGAACCCGCGTGCCGCGTTCGTTTCTCTGCCTCTCCCCCCTCTCGCGCTCCGACGACTGGTGTGGCCGCCGCCGCCGCCCCAACGCCAGGTGCTGAGGCCTTCGCCGGCCTCGTCGCCGGCGACAAGCACCCACAAGGTATTCCCACCCCTTCTCTTCCCTTCCTGCTGTGCGAAGCCGAGGACCCAAACCCTAATCTAAGGCTATTTGGCTATTTGATGCCTCCTAACTTCGAACTTTTTGCAACAAAATATCGGTTGGACATCCATGTCCCTTTGCTGGGTCCACCCTGGTGCACGCGATGCCTGGTTTCCGGTTCTGATAACATTTTATAGAATGCTTGGTTAGTATAAAGAAGATTTTAGGAATCTCAGACACAATATTCCACATGTACACATATGCCTGTGTGCTGGGATTTGGGTTGACAGTTTTATATGTGTCACCACTGATAAGTGATACATAGATCTTTGCATGTTTCATGTAAAATCCATGTTCCTGCTATTACGCTAAATTGAACTTAGCCATACCCACATGATGAGAATGTGATGGAAATTACTCTCTACCGTAAATTTGTTCTGTTTGAAATGCCATCTTTTTCCAGTATAGCAACCATGAATATACATGCTGTCCATTTTTCTGGGGTTGCTAGGAATATCAAAGATGGACCTTTGCAATCTCTGTGGTGAAAATAATTATGCATCTCTGGTTTATACATGCCAAATACATCTGATTTTATTCCTCTGAAACTTGTCCTGAACCAAAACAAGAGGTTCAAAGTTGGTAGAAACAGTCTCCACTGAGTTTCTGATCAAAACCAGACATTTCTGTAACTTGTAAGTATTTGAACTGATTGATAATTTAATGGGAAAATATATATTCTTTGTGAATGAGGTAGTATCAATGTTCAACTTATATTTTCCATGCTTATATAATAATGATCAGGATAACAAAGTAAATGAGTTTAGTCTCTACTAAATTTATTATGATTCTTGACTATGGGATAGGTCAGAATAATTAAGCAAAATATAAATGTCCTTGTGCTAGCAATCATAGTATCATACTATCATCCAGGTACCTTCAGTTTTTTGTTGTAATATGGACAGTGTATTTCTTTTAATAGACTCCATGGCATCTAACTTAATATTACATCTTACAGTCCTTTCAGGATGACCAAGTATACGAGGAACAAAAAAAGTTCATCTCATCAGCTTAGATCATCACATCACAGGAAACCCCACAGTAGTTCCAGATTCAAAAAAGTTTCCAGCAAGGAGATACCATTTGCAGCCATAGAGAAATGTGCGTGGACAGATGCAACTTGTCCAGTATGCATGGAATTCCCACACAGCGCTGTTCTTCTACTCTGTTCATCACATGGCAATGGTTGTCGTCCATATATTTGTGCTTCCAACTACCAGCACTCAAATTGTCTTGATCAGCTTGTAGAGTCATGCAGAAAAGAAGCCTCTGAGGACCCAGATGCAATAGAGCTTGCGTGTCCCCTTTGCCGTGGTGAGGTCAAGGGATATACCTTGGTTGAGCCTGCTCGGAAGCAGCTGAATCACAAGAGGAGGAGCTGCATGGAAGATGGCTGTTCATACATGGGCTCATACAGAGAGCTCTGCAAGCATGTCCGAAACAAGCACCCTTCTGCAAACCCACGAGCTGTGGACCCCCTACATGCTTACAGATGGAAGCGGCTTATATTTCGAAGTTCATTGCAAGATATGATTTGTTCAACTACTTCAGAGGTTATGCGAAGGTTATTTTCTCTCATGCTGCAGTTTGATGAGCTTGTGGCTGCTTTGCGAGAGGGTGGTGATCGTCATGGCGCTACCAATGATAATTCACTGCAAAGTGCTAGCGCAGAAACCACTGATCCATAACCTCTGGATCTCTCGCTGAAATGTGAGAGCCTGTGTTGATCCTGCAGGCAATCTTACAATGAATCCCCGGCTTGGCCCCCTGCCGATACACAATTTCTGACCCGACAAAGCAATACTAGTCTTCATCTGTTCTCAGGGTATGCTCAATGGTCATCTTGAAATGAAACATACTGTTAAGCTTTGATGGATTTTTTCAATAACAGTGATAATGGCTGGTTGAGTGGCATGGGGCTTTGTTCATATTCATTTAGCCTCTAGTGTGTCATGTGATGCACTGTTCTTGTGCACCATCCCATTGTATGACATAACTGTTTCTTATGGAATGCAATGTGTTCCTGTTCAGAAAACGAAATCTTGCCTTTTCTGCATTTACTGCTTTCAATTATTTTGCAAGGCAAATGTTGGGTATTATTACTTGTGAGTATTCATGGAAGATCTGTAGCTTCGTACTTCCAAAGAACATGGTTTCGTTGAGCTCTGGAGCTTGAATTATAGACTACCTATATTCTGATTCCATGTTTGTACCGAACAAGATAGTTTCTTCTAACTTTTTCTGCATGTGGATTTCATTGGCATACCAGCTTGATGAAGTGAAACTGGACAATGCACAGAATTTTAAACTAACCGGTTCCATTAGATCGACAATGTTAAGTGATCTGTTCTGTCACTAGGAGTTTGGTAACCGATGAATGCTGCATGGTCAATCGTTGACAGAAGCACAGCTAAACCGATGTGGCATGTTTTGGCCAACCTTCACGACGCCATCTAAGACAGCGGCGACCTCGTTTTGCATCAGAGCGGCGACCTCGTTTTGCATCAGTGCATGATGTTGCTGCATGCCTGCCTTGTCAGAACAGCAAGGGCAGATTGGATTTTCGGCAAAGATAGCTCTTGCCTCCTCCTGGGACAAACTTGGCTCCACGATGCGATGCGTCGTCCATCTGCGACCACCCATGGATTTTCCAGATGGGGAGGCCTGGGGGTGGATTGCTGATCGATACTCGTGCAGTCGTGTACTCGTGTCTTCGCCAATCGCCAGGGACAGGACAAGCGCCGCCACTCTCACGCTCGCCTCGGCACGGCACCGCACCGGCCAGCGTAACTGGGGCGCCGCCGGCGCAGCGCGGCCCCCTCATGCCAAGATTCCCTATGCTTTTGATTGAAATCTTTTGCAGGTTTCTACCGCGTTGTGATGAACTGATCATTTCACATGTACTGTGCCTTTGAGGCGACTAGGCGAGGAGATCTTGTTAACCAGTTGGATCCACAAACTGATGATACAGAGACTCGTAACGAACAATCACAATATCACATCGAGTAGAGGTAAAAAAAAAAAAGGTCACATCAAAATCCAAACGCCCGTAGTTAGGCTATGATCAGTAACTCAGTGTGGTCTTGTTCAGAGGAGCGCATTTGGGCAACTGTAATGACAGCAATCAGCAAACCCACATAATTGTGAACAGCACCAATCAAGAAAGACAAGAGAAGTCATCAAACGACAAAATTCACTTCATTGTCCGATTTGGACTCATCCTGAACCCGGATCGTAGTTGCTCAAGTGTCAGATTTTCAACTTGTTTATTATCATATCACCATAGAAGATGCTAAGTTTGGAAGCATATGCGTCAGCAAACTTTACAACGTATGGACCAAAAACTAAAATCAACACTGACATTAAGCTGCTGAATGATAAGAGCACTTCATGATAGACAATGATCATGACTCTCATTCACATCATGATCCCCAGAAATATGAAAGCAAATAAAGAGCTTGAGGTAAAAAGCTAAGCAAGAGAACAAAATACATCCTGATTTTCACAATTAGTTCAAAGTCCTAAACGTCATATACTGTATTTAAAAACGGAGGGGGTATAAAAAAAACCAGCAGATTCAGGCAGAACAACCCAACAAGGAACACATCACTCCTAACCGAGCGCCATGGATGCCAATATGCCCGAAGTACAGAGCCATTTACAGAGGCGCATAGGCACATGGATGTGTACAAATAACATCTAAAATACCAAGATGCATATATCCATAAAACTAGTGGGAGAACACAAAGAGATCATCATCAGGATGGGTTTTGGTAAAGGATACAAATGCTTTTTCACAGAGAGATTATTGTGATCCTCCTTGGTTTTGACCATCAACTACAAAACCATCTAAAATTAATCATCCTATCGCATCAAACAACCTAAATCTAGTAGGTTCTGAACATTATATATCAATATAAAAACCAACCTAAATCTAGTAGATTCTGAACCATGATACTCAGCCGGATCACCAAGCATGGCATTCCAATTTGTAGATACAGTAAAAAAAAGCACCACAAAAGGAGTGAAATAGAACAAAACCTTCATAATGCAGATGCATCAAACCAAACTTAACTAAACATAGAAACTGTATACCATATAACACAAAAGTTAGCACCTAAGAGACAGAAAATACTATGATCCGCCAAGAACAAGGGAAACACCATCACTCTCACTCCCTGTTCTGTACCTAAATTCTTACTGAGACAAGTGCACCTTGTCCATGAAAGTTAAGTAATTCAGCCACAGAAACTGTATCTAGAAACAAAAGAAGACACTGATTACTCCTTTAAACATTGCACTACTCACCCACCAGAAGATCATTCATTACTCAGTCAACCCTCCAGCGCATCAAGCACCATCTTGACTGTCTCCTTCATCAGTTCCATACGGCGCAGCTGGTGTCTGATCTCTGTGAGCCTGAATTTTCGCAGCTTTTCCTCCATCCCACGCGCTTTGGGGCCTTCGATCAACTCAAAGGCCTTCTTGAATGCTACCCCATTCGGGTGCTCCTTTGACAGATCCTCTACAGTCTCCCAAAGGTATGGATAAGCATCCTTTCCCTTCTCAATATCAAACTTCCCTCTTCTATTGGCATTCACAGCCCCAAACCCAGCCCCGTTTCCATTTGCCATATCGATTGGCATAACCCTCCTGTTCTTGTGCAGGCGTTCATCCCACCCACTATCCACATCCTCATCAGTCTCTGCAATCTCGTGCTCCTCTTCACTGTCACCATCACCACCACCACCAATCTCATACCCATCACCACCGGTACTTCCTCCACCATTAGCACTTGCTCCCCAAACCTTCTTGCTAATCTCATAAACACTCTGTTCGTGCTGGGTGGGGAAGCCTGGATCCCGCCCGTTCTTGCCACGGGACGAAAGCAGGTTGTACTTCTGCTTGAGACGCCGTACCTTGTCACTGAGCTGCGTAGGGGTTACCTTAACACTGAGCTCGCTCTGGATGTGGCCGTGGAGCTTAGAAATGTCATACATGGAGCCGGGGAGGACGCCACGCTTGGCGCGGTACGTGGCCAAGCCCCGCAGGATGACGATCTCGTCTCGGAGGCTCCAGAGCCGCGTCTGCCTCTTGAGCTGCTCCACGGATGACGGGACGGCGACGCTGCGGGGGCGCTTTGAGCGCGGCTCGGAGAAAGAGGGTACCATGGAGCGGCGCGGCGGATCCATGGGGCGCGAGCTGAGGGGCTTGATGGCGGCAGCCTCGGCGCGGGACGGGCGCGGGGGCCGGAGCGCGAGCGGGGAGGCGTTGTCGTCGTCGGCGGAGTCGGCGCTGTCTCCGGCGGCGAGGTCGGCGTCGGCGTCGGCGTCTGATGCCGCGACGTTGGAGTACGAGGCGGCGTCCGGGGAGCGGGAGCGCGGCCTGGGGCTCCTGGGCTTGCGCGAGGGCGACGACGCTGCCGCCGCCTTCCGGGGTGGGGGGCGGTGGTCCGCGTCAGAATCGTAGGCGGCCTCGGAGTCGGATCCGGCCGCGGTGGAGTCCTCCGCCGCCGAGGTGGGGCCGGCGGCGGCGGACTTAGCGTTAGGGTTGGGCGGCGGCGTCTTGGACGGGGACGGGGAGGACGGCTGGTGGTGGGCCACATCCGCCTCCGCGTCGGATGCCTCGGACGCCGACCCCGAGGCCGCCGCCGCCGGGCGCTTCGGTGCCATGCGGGCGGCGGGGGGAGCAAGCGCGCCTAGGGTCTCGGCGCCGGGTGGTTCGGCGGCTGCGGCTGCGGCTGCGGCTGAGAAACTCCTCTTCCTCTCGTCGCGCTGGTGTGAATTGCGATGCTCTCTCTGCTGGGGCCCAGCGACGAGAAAATTGGAATTATGCCATCGTTGGAGGTGGGCTTCGCTGGTTTGTCACCCGCGATGGCGTTTCGCTAATTGCTATCATGAAATATGTGCAACCCTCAGAATATCATTGGATGACTTTATAACTCACAAATAACGAAAAATAAATTTTTCTTCCACATTTACCCATGTCCTTTCTTTCCTCTGAGCAGAGGGATGGACAAAACACCACCTGCTCCTCGCCGCCGATGTCCACCGCGTCCTCCATTCCACAGGTTGCCCAGATGCCCGTGTGGCGTGGCCTCCGATGCCCCGGTCCATACCCTGGAGCTCGTCGTTGCCGGTTGAGGCGCACATCGGCGGCGACATGGCCAGAGTGCCCTCATTCGGCGCCACTGACACCTCGAACCTCAAAAGCGGGGCTTGCCGGGTCGGTGCCGGCGACGGTGCTACTCGTCTTGGTGGGGAGCACATATGCCTCTGGGGGCCTTTGCTCCAACTCCAACCACGACGGGCGTGGCCATCAGCGTGCCCGATGTGTCGTGGCGTCGTCGTCGGCACATGGCTTGCCGAGGCCGCCCCTCGTTGATGGCCCTCGGTCTCACCGTGCCGTTAAGTGGATCGAAATCGATGGGCGAGCCCACGAATAGCCTCGTCGGGCTAGGTCGTCCCACCTCGCGACTCTTGTTGTTGTGCTCACGGCCGGCCAAGAAGAAGCGGCCTACAAGCCCAGCCACCTGAGGTCCTCTGTTGCGCCCACCATGCCTCACCGGGTGGGAACACGACTCTACATGGCGAAGGTGAGCGGGCGTTGCTGGAGGCTCGCGGCGCTGCCTTGGGGGTGCGCCCGCTCGGAGAAGAAGCGCTCGCTTGATCCGTTTCTCCTCCCTCGGTTTCGTCCGTCCGTGTGCTCTCACATGAAAGATGGAAAGGGCAAGGGTTAAATGTGGAAGAAAACTTCGTTTTTCATTTTTTTGAGATCTAAAGTCACCAAATGACATTCCGGCGGGTTGCACATATTTCATAATGGTAATTCAGCGAAGACTCGTTATGGGATGGCAAATCAGCGAAGCCCACTTCCCATGATGGCAGAATTCTCATTTTCTCCCGAGCGACTCGTGGGTTTGGTTGGGTCCTACCTGTACTGGCCGATTTTTTAGGGCGGGCGGAGCGACGCCGCATGGGGTTCGGTGAGGTCTGAGCTGTTGGGAGAATTTATATATTTTAGGCCTTGTTTACTTCTTCCTCTGAAGTTTACTCCCTATCTCATCGAATGTTTCACACATACATAAAGTATTAAATATAAACTAAAATAACTAATTACACAATTTACGACTAATTCACGAGACGAATCTTTTAAGCCTAATTAGTACATGATTTGATAATATGATGCTACAGTACACATGAGCTAATGACGGGTTAATTTGGCTTAATAAATTCGTCTCGCGGATTACTGACGGATTCTGTAATTTGTTTTTTTATTAGTATCCAAACATCCCATAGCGACACCCCCATATGACACCCGATATGACACCCTAAAACTTTGCGCCATGGATTTAAACAAGGTCTTAATCATTTTTATTTAATATTTTAATAATAACCGCTCCAAAAAAATTTCAGATCTGACCTCTGGTCGTTCCAGTGGGGCTGGCATGACCAAATAACGTTGTCGCATCATATGCGTTGGCACGACAAAATGTGTCACGTTGGACAGCATTTTCGACGTGGAAAACCTTGTCGCGCCACTTCCGCTGGCGTGATAGTTTTCATATAGAAATCATCTTCATCCGACAAGACTGAACTGTCACGGCACCGGGAGTGGCGCGACAAGGTTTTCCACGTCGAAAACGTTGTCCGACGTGGCACGTCTTGTCGCGCCAACGCATATAGCGTGACAGCGTTATTTGGTCGCGTCAGCCCCACTAGCGCGACCAAAAGGGTGAAAATATTTTTAGAAACGATTATTATTAAAATATTAAATAAAAAAGATTAAAAATAAATAAAAATCCGAGCCGCAGCAGGTCCGCAGCCGAGTTCTTCTTCCCCTGTTCGGTATCAGTGCGGGCGGAGTGGGCGCGGCTCAGTCTGGTGCTGTTGCCGCCTGGCCCACTGGCCGTTTGGTTGGAATTGGATCATAATGTCATTTTGCCCGGCGTACGAGCTGAGTGGTGCCAATCATGACGTCAGGCATGACAATTTGGTGTCACCTTTTACTGATTTTCCTCCGTCCCAACTCCCAATGAAGGCAATGATTGATACTCTAGACAGGTTTTTCTATGAATATTTTTATGTGTTTATGATGAAGTGGCAGTTTGGCTCTGCATAGCAGTTGTATGTCGCCCAGTTCGCTTAAATTTATCGGCCTCCACTATGGTATAGTTTTTTCTTTTAAAATAAAACAGTATCAATCTATTTATCAACCGCCGAAACATCACGTTTGCATTCTCGTAGGATTACCATTGCTGGCATATAGCCATATAGGAGTACTTTTACTACTGTCTACTGGTTATGGTGGTAGTAGTACCGGCTAGCGGCTGCATCTGCGTTTGCGTCTTTGCTGAAGCAGGGTTTAGAGGACAGACTGAAAGTACAGACTACAGAGTGCATAAAAAGCTTCCAGTTGACTACTAGTCGCTTTCCAAAATTGTTCAAGTCGTCAGTGACAGGTACGGAGCAACTGCTGCTCGGAGTCTTCGGAATCACAGTGCAATTGGCAAGGGACGTTGCAGGTGGTGCAGATCACCGGATTTTCTAACGATAACGTTGCATTCATTTGGCGCAAAGTGTGGGAAAGTCGGCAAGAAACACTGCAAGCCAATCAGCATCAGCTTCTTCCAAGTTTCAGCGCCGCTTTGCGCAAGTTGCAGCTCGTCAAGCGAAACAGTAGCGCCTATGCGATGCCGATCTCATCCAAATGCTTGCACTGCTCCAGTATGTTTCGTCTTCTGTGTCCTCTGGGACTGGGAGTTTGGGTCTATCCAATGTGAGCAGCAGAGCATGTTCTAAAGCGGAGACCATTTGTAGTGGCAAGCAACCTACACGTCCAAACTGACTTTATTTCAGGGGCAAAAAATAAAACGTAAAAGAAGAGGTGCCTGTCACATTCTAGCACCCAAAACCTGAAAAATTATCCCACTAAAGGAATGAGTTCTTAAAACATCAGAGTTCCTCAAATTTACAGTCTGCCTAATCGAAACGCAGATCAGTTCCAGAATCATCAGAATCACAACTCATCATTTACTGAGGAGCTGTCGCCCATGAGCTCATCGAGGGAGAATTCATCCTCTTCAATGACCTCTCCATCTTTGCCATCCCACGGCTCGGACGCGACTACTGTAGGTGCATCGTTCAGAGGAAGATTTCCCTTTCCACCACGCCCTGCTTCCTTCACAAACTCGCTGCACGAGACAACTTTCCGTTAATCATCTGTCTAATCAACGTGAAACAAGCGAAGGTATAATAATCAATAAGACAAGAGGGCTTACATAATTTCGTCGCGCTGGAAGGCACTACGGAGTGGAGCGTATGCACCTTTCTTCACGTTGAGAGCTACCATGGCGGGATAGCCGTAGCCGCCCACTCCAACCTGGTTCTCGAGATTAGCTTGCTTGCCAGCAGCTGTCCAGACAAAACTGCAAGGCAAACCGGCTCAGGATGTGTAGTTCAAAAGAAAAGGGAGTTTTTAAGACAAATGAGTGCATGACATGCTTTTGTTCAGGCCAACTAAACATACAACACTTGTTGTTGCAGTATCCGTGTACAGTTTATGGTTTGAAATATCAACACTAAAATTTTGTTCAAGCAAGGTTACTCAGTATCTTGTTTTAACTCTATATCTTAGCATTTAAAATACATACTGTTGAATGCCAATATCAATGTTTCTTTTTTGGAATGCCACTAAAGGAAACTACTGTGTCAGTTAAAAACTGACTTTTTTCCTTTCTTTGAAAGTGAACAAGCCAGACACATTTTGTTAAGGTCTGTAATTAGTTAAGCTGACACTTGCCTGTATGGACTCTTTTTAAACTTCTCAGCAACAGAGAGCAAGAGCTCAAGGTACTTGGTTCTTCCTTCTGCCTTTGAATCAAGGATGTCTGGAAGGAATGATACAAAACAAATGGCAGCAGAAGCGCACTTCTCTTCCATGACATCCTGAAGAAGCAAAATCGTCTCTTCAAATATCAATGGTGGGCTAAACGATCGTCAGATTTTTGTAGGTACCATGACGGTTTAGCCTTACCGGGCCAGTCAACTCAGAAACTTCAGCTGGACCAGAGTTGGCTTCCAACTGCTCCAATGCAAAGGACTCAATGGCAGATGCAACTCTAGCCCCCTGGTAGGGGAATGGGCTCTCCTTATCAGCACCAAACACCAAAATAGTTGGAAAACCTTCCACCTTGTACTTGCTCATCAAGGACTGCAAAATAGGAGAGTAATCGTTAATTATTAACAATAATCTGCACTGTGGCAATTCCGTAATTGGGAAAGAAGAGAAAAGAGGTCAGTCTGCCAGAAAAGCAACCATGCTTCTAAAAGGTGAAGATTCAACCTTCTAAACTGTACTCATACACTGCCTGAACTTATGCCAACATAAATTTAGAAGCTAAAAATCATGTCTCTCGACATCTTTGGAAAGTGTCATTCCAAACAAGTGGATGGGATGTGAGCCCAATCAAATGGCTTATGGATTATGTGAGATCCCAATCAAATGGTGTATAGCTTTTGAATAGAAGCTTGGACAATGTGCTAGCAGACTACAATATTTGTCAAAGTTGCAATTGTGGCCCTAAGGCTCTAAAACTCAGGTTATATTGCTACAAAAATGTGCATGCCTTCAAAATTTTCAAATCCTTCATTGAAGTCCTGGTGATCACCAA